TAGCAATTTTTGAGAGGTAAACTGAATACAAGTATGCCATGAAGTATTCACAGCATATAACACTTTTATTTTGTTAACAGGTCATTGTCGAAGTGTAGTTCTCGCATGATTACCGTGGTCTACGCATTCACAACATATTCATGGCAGTCGATATCCACACTGTAACATATAAAAACGATTACCAGTACCGGTATTCGGAAAAGTTAAACAATGGTCAAAGACCAAGTTTTATAGACATGTAATATTGTTGTTACTTGCACAGGGAACTCAATTGCCAAGTCTGAAGGATCTGGCTATTTTTCACCTGTAATTGTACAACAAATACCGGTATGCATATTGTGAGCTTGATCTCAAGATGTAGCAAGTTCTTCTGTTTCTTGATAATCTGTGTACTAATTTTGATGGCACTGAATAAGTAATTGTTACAAAGTACATAAACACATGATGGACCCTTGACTTCTAAATGGTTGCTGTGTCGACCAATTCACAGGCACTAACAACTAACATTTTTACATTTCAGATAGCAAGAAGAAGAACGAACAAAAACACATTTGGTTGGGTGAGAGCAGAGGTATTGGGAGCCCTTGTAAATGCTGTGTTTCTAGTCGCCTTGTGCTTCTCCATTGTCGTGGAGTCATTAAAAAGACTTTTAGATGTTGAGACAATTGAAAATCCAAAATTGATCCTTGTTGTTGGTTCTGCTGGTCTTCTGCTCAATCTCATTGGATTAGCACTCTTTCATCAACATGGTATGTCTAAACTTCGTACTTCATGAATATTAGATGCCTAACTGTTTATTTATCTATAAGTTTAAAACTGAAGTTTCATGATTGATTTGATTATTTTTTTTTAGGTCATAGCCATGGAGGAATGAGTCGTGGACACAGCCACGGCAAGTCAAGCCGGGACAAGCACAGTCATGGTCATGGTAAGCATGGCCACAGCCATGGTGGCCATACTCATATACATGAGGAGGATAGTCTTGATGACCATAAAAAAGAATTATCTGATACTGCTCTCAAAAGCATAACAATTGTAGATGAAATACAGGATGATATAAGTGATGTTATAATGGACAACCCAAAGTTAGGTAAGAATGCAGACCATAGTTCTTAGAATTCAAGGCTTTTATATGATTACTGATAATATTGAAAACAATACAACTAATCTGTAAGTGCTTCACTTGCTAAGAATTATCCTTTTGCTTTGTTAGTCCCCGTTTCAGGGGATTTCTGATTTCAATTTTCCGTCTGTGATGTCTCTAACATTTTCTCGAAATTCTGCAGCAGATATCGATGAAACTTGGCAGGTTGATGAACAAGTCTCTGCCAAATATGCAAAATATGAAAATCCTAAGTGGGTCTTTTTCATGATTTTCATCCAACACTACCTCTCCCAACACTACTGAGAGAACATAGTTTGGTTGCACTTGTGTACTCTGAGATTTTGGACCTGGGTCAATGAAAGTTTTCAGTTATCAGATTAAGGGAAATCACTTTATGATGTTTGCATATGTTTCATGTATTATTTTAACATGAGTATTTTATAATTAAATAACAGGGACTGTGATATTCATGTCTTGTTTTTGGGAGTTTGCAGGCAACAGCTCATTATAGTAAATGAATACAGTACAACATATTCTCTGCTTCTTGTTCTATGTACAGCATCCAGTGCCCAGCTGAATATGCGAGGAGTATTCCTACATGTATTGGGTGATGCATTAGGTTCTGTCATTGTAGTAATCAGTGCATTAGTTATATGGTTTGTAGAAGGTGATTGGAAATATTATGTAGATCCAGCAATGAGTTTGGCTATGGTTATGATTATCCTGTGTACAACTATACCATTGTGTAAGTATACTGTTATTATTAGTCTCTAATAAAAAAGCGTGTAAACCACAAAGTTGGATATCATTCTCAGTTTATATTCTGTGACAGGGTATTTACATCAATGCATGTATCTCAAATTAAGCAAATGCAGTGTTATGTCATATACAAACATGTAGACAATAATGTAATAATAATCACTGAACTCAAGACTGCATTGGTAATGATGAAATTGAGATGTTGTTCAGATTCAATTAATCTATCATCACTTGAAAATTAGTTATAAAAGAAGTACAGCACTGTGCAGACAGTTGGAGGTCAGACTATGGCAGCCATGACTGACATCATTATTAACCATTGACACTAGATGCAACAAAGTTTATTGGTTCATCAAAACCTTGAGACCAGAAAGCAATAAGCTCAATTTTTAATGTTGACATATGGTATTAAATTACCAGCACATGAACAAGGCTGTCAAGGGAGCTGTAAATATAGGATTCGGGGTGCGGGTGGGGCATAATTCAAGTTTCTGTAACTTGATCTTGATTTTTATTGATTTCATGGTGTTTTTAAGCTCCGCTGTCGACAAGTCGAGCGGAGCTTATCATATGAGTGTTGTCAGTCGTCGTTGTCCGTCGGCGTCCGTGTCAATGTTTTACTTTTTCGACTTCTTCTTGAAAACTACAAGCCTGAATGCTTTGATACTTGGTGTATATGTACCTTGGGTGAACCTCTCAGATTTGTTCATTTCGTGATGATATCTTCAATTCTCTAATTTTGGTGAGCATTTTTGTAATTTTGACTTCTTTTTAAAAACCGCAAGCCTGATGGCTATGATACTACATATATTGGTACTACATGTAGACATCTCTCAGATTTGTTCATTTCGTGATGATATCTTCAATTCTTTAATTTTGGTGAATATTTGTCATTTTTGGTAAAAAGTGGTATTTTCGACTTCTTGTTAAAAACAACAAGTCCAATTGCTTTGACACTATATACATAGGTACCTCAGGTAGACCTCTCTCAGATTTGTTCATTTCGTGATGATATCTTCAATTATCTAATTTTAATGAATATTTTTGTCATTTTTGGTAAAAAGTAATATTTTCAAATTCTTGTTGAAAACAGCAAGTCTGATTGGTTTGATACTATGCATATTGTTAATTTTCTAATGATATCTTCAGTTCTTTAATTGAAATGTGCATTGCTAACAGCAGAGCTATCTCAGACAGGCTGCTTGTTAGATATTCAAATGTGTTGAAGTCTAAATAATTTATACTTGATATATGATATTATGTAATTTTTCTCTCTTAGTGAAAGAGTCTGCTATGATATTACTACAGACAGTACCAACTCATATCAAAGTGGAAGATATGCAGTCCAAACTAGTGAGCAAGGTAATGGACATTGACAGTAGTCTAGTATCTGATCTCAGATCTGCATACTTCTACAACTCTGTTTTCACACACTTAGCTTTCCTTCTGTCATTGCACAAATTAGGCAACTGTACACTAGTCGGGTATCTTCAAAATACTGTATCATCTGATTCATCAAGTGTGAATTGTTGTCATTTGGTTCTAAATTTGAATACTGTATTTACTCTATTAGTGACACATGTGCTTATGTGAATGAGAGAATGTGTTTGTGATGAAAAAGTCCAGTATACAATAAATGCAATTTTTTGTTTAATTATAGTATTTACGGTAGTGATTTTTTTTACATCAGGTGAGTGGAGTATTAGCTGTACACGAGTTCCACGTTTGGAGACTAGCTGGTAATAAGATTATTGCTTCTGCACATATACGATGTAAAAATTTGACAGATTACATGCGGATTGCAAGTCAAGTAAAAGAGTTCTTTCATGATGAAGGTATACACTCAACTACTATACAACCAGAATTTGTAGAGGTAAGAACAAATATATTATGTTATTGTTTAACGCATTGGCAGACAAAACACTCCTGGCAGTGTTTTTCGCAAGATTTGGTCAAGGGTGATAGCTAATTTGCATAATGATTAGCCTACAATTTATTTGCATAATTTATTCATTGGGAATAAATGTTCTGTATTTTGGAATGAAAATGTGAGTCATTGCTTGAATCAATAAAAAAAGAAACCGTAACGCCAATATTGTTTTTGATATTTCTATTATTAGGTTACTACACCACCAAATTACCAACACTGAGTACATTTTATTGGCCTTGAACACATCACCAAAAATCAAAATAATTTATTCCACACTTTTGACACTTTTACCTAGTTTCAGACAAATCATATCCAAGCTTCAGAAATATCATTTGAGTGTAGTACTGTAAAATCTGTATTAGAAGCGACTGCTTCTA